TTCTCGTCCGAGGAAGAGCTTAACAACACACAGGACAGCGGCGTCATCATCGCTAAGCTCGGCCCCGGACAGAGACTACGTCTTTCGGCCATCGCCAAGCTTGGCATCGGCAAGGAGCACGCGAAGTGGTCTCCCGTGGCAGTCGCCACGTACATGTACGACCCCATTATTACGCTTAATCAGGCCGTTCTGAGCACCTACTCGCCCGAGCAGAAGGCTGAGCTCTACAAGAGCTGCCCCACAGAAGTGTTCGAGACGGATGAGAACTACGAACAGGTGAGAGAGGAGGATCGAGTGGTGCAGAAGAGAAAAGACGATTGCTGATGTTATAATTGTTTTTGCTGTAGTTTACGGTAGGAGACGCGATGCGATGCATGTACTGCGACGAGTGTGTCAAGTTGGCAGACTCGTTCAAAGACAACCCGGAAGACGACTCGGCCGTGTCGATCCGGATGCGGGAAGACAAGTTTATTTTCTCCGTTGAGGTGCGCTGGACTCTTGGTGGATTTAGTTGCAATTTTGTTGCTTATCTCGTACATATATTTATCAACTTGCAGACAACAGGCCAGCTGAAACCCGAGGAAGTGGTGATCTGTGCACTGGATTTAATCCGTGAGAAGTTGTCATCACTGAAGCATCAGTGTTTGGAACTCAGCCAGGATGATCAGGGCTCTTCGGCACCTATCACGCCGTTTGGATAAACAGGATAATAGCGACAGGGACTGCATCTAGCTAAAGCTAAGGGCTGCTGAAGCTCGCTATAGCAGTGTTGGTCGGACTACGGGAATGCTGCTGTCTGCAGGCAGCACAAGTTTTTGAGTTGATCACATCACGAACGGATGCGCCTAGCTAGCGCCCAATAGATTTATGCTGGAGGCTGCGTTTTTACCTTCTTTCATTCATTCAACAGATATTCCAATGCGCTTACTGTACTCGCTCACGAGTAGTGCGGCAAGATCTCGACGCTTCCGCCTAGTGTCTGTGAGGTTCCCAACAGCCCTGATGACGCATCACCGTCTGTATTTTCGCTGGGTGAGTGCGCACAACAGCACAATCAGACCCTGCGGACAACCATCGTACAAAGATCAGCTCATACCTTCGATCGGAGTCCAGCACATTCGCTTCTTGGTTGTCGCAAAGTGTTCCGAGTCGTGAAGACTTGTAAGCCAGCAGCAAGTTTCCCAGCAAATCTGTGGGGTGGACGTCACTTTTGAGCACTCCTTGGCAGGCACACAGGAATGCTACGTTCTCGTGAAGCATACTCACGCCACGCTCAAACCCAGCACTACCATCTGGATAAAGCGTGTGGCATCCAGCTCCTTCACGCGTATTCCCAATCGTCGAGAACGATCCATTGAACTGCATCGGGTGCGGGTACGTGACCTTCAGATACTTGACAAGGCAATGCAGGAGATGAATAACCTTGCCTAGCGCCGCAGCAACCACTTCGGGGGGTACATTCTCAAATTTACCAGACTTGGGCATGGGCAGTCCTGCAACTGTCCGGAAGTACACAGGACCGCTCGTCCGTGCTTTCCGTTGTCTTTGTTCCTCCGAAACACCCTCGCGTTCGTCAGGTAACCCACTCAACGGGTCGTCCTCATCTTCACCCTCATCCACATTTCTCTCGTCCTTCGGAGTCAAGCCAAACAATGCGAACAGTTCTCGAAGTTTATCACCCCGTACTTTTGCAGCATTCTTCCATCCAAACCACCAACACGTAAGCCACATTCTCAGCTAACTTAATTTTCGAGTTTTTTTTGCCGTACCTCGTCCGCCCATTGAACTTGGTAGTCGAGACATTCGAGAATGGGAACATGGAGGCTTTCGGCTCTTTCATTCTCCTGCTGCAGCTTGTGCTGCGCCTCCGCCATCTGCATAGTTCGCTCTTCCAGTTTAGAGGCCCGTTCCACGACCGCGATCCGCTCGGAACAGAGTTGCTCGCGCGTCTTCATGACCCTCTCGGCCAGCTGCTCCACCTGCTTCATGCATCTGTCAAGACGCAGTTCCGTTTCCACCAGCGCACTTTTCGTCTGTAGCATTACGATAAAAAACATTAGCTAAGTGAATACTCTATCGTGGACTATGTGACGCACGTTCAGCGCACACTCAGTCTTTTTGCGTAGCACCGCCACGTCCGCCTGCAGCGCGGATAGCATCGTGCGACGCTGTTGCAGCATGGCTGACGTGCAGTTCGCGCAGGAGAAGATGTCACGCCGCCGGTAGCAAAGCGCACACTCGCTCTTGTCCATTTTTAGTTATCAGACGAAGATTAACTTACTTGTGAGCAGGGATTAGTAGTAGTCGTCAACATACGGTAGTAGTATTACCGGGACTATCGGCTAGATAAATATGAACGAAATATGACTCATATTTAGAAGTAGCAACTTTTAGTAGTAGTACACGTAATTATTATATTAGTGTTAGACAAAAGTACACAGGTTTTTTACTAATATTAATTACTAGAAACTTTTCAAATGTGACTATAGTGGCGTCCTCACACCCACACACACCACTCCACCTCCGCGAAAAAAAACGTATTCCTTTAGGTGTGATAACTAATTTGTATTCGCTCGTGTAATGTGCGAAATAAGATAGTTGGCGCACTTTCCAACACATTACGTAGCGTACATCAAGCGCATTGGGTGATCGAGCTGACGCGAGGCCACTGAAGAACACGAACCTAGGTAAGAGCAAGAAACACAGAAGAATATTAATCGAGACAATGTACACGCTGGAGTGGAGGCGGAAGCACGAATGGGCACGAAAACAACAAAAGCCACGAGCTATTCAGAAAGAGACGAGCCGCGGGAGAGCACGCAGCCATAAAATTGGATGGACAAGAACATGACGGGAGTGTAAAGGGAATTAAAATATTGACACCTCACATGCTGTAAAGCGCGGGTTGCGGAAGAGCACGGACGTTCGAAGCCACGGTAGAACACGTTCCGGTGAGAGTGCACAGAAACAATTCTACAACAACACCACGGTTAAACATGGAGCACAGTCAACCGACCAAACCTGAACCCGCGGGAGGCCAGAAACGGGAAATCATCAATCTTTGGAGCACGATGCCTGGGTAGAACAGAAGCTCACCGATCCACGGAGCGCGCCACTACGGTAGCTAGCAATAACATAGACGCCAGACCATCCGCGACACTAGAGATAACACGATAGCATGCACGGTGACCCAACCACTAAATCATTGTAGATAACGCAGCCAAAGAGGTTATAGACGGAAGATCACCGAGCCACAGAGCACGATACCAGTGCAGAGCCTGACCTCACCGAGCCACGAAGGACGATAGTACATTATAACACGATTGCACGGACGGCATTCCAGCCATGAAATCACAGAAGAACCACGATTGCACACCGCTGAGCACGAAGCCATTGTAGAAAACTATAATATACGAAAAACGCAGATAAACTACGCGAATACGATAGCATAGGACGGAGCAACCACACCGCGGTTGCATGATAGCGCGATAACGCGGCCGATGGAGCCATACCGGGAGAGTACGATACACGGGCGACGGAACTTCACGACTGCGGGGAGGCACCAAACCACGGAATAGTACACTTCGGCTAGAGCACCGGCGGTGGAAGGTCAACGGTCACGAAAGACTATGTACCACGAAACCGGTGCAGCCTACGTAAGCGTTTGAGAACAGGGAATAGTTAGTAGTCACGAAAGAGGCCGTACTAAAGCGAATGAACTCAAACGATAGAGCGCTTGATCACGAAGCAGCGTGTGCCACGGGTGAGCAGGGAGCACGAAACCAGGAAAAGTACGGAAGAGCATGGGCCGTTGAAGGACACAACATCCAAACTGTAGTACGGGGTAGCGGAAACGCTTCAAAATACGATATTATATGGGGCCGGATGCGACTACGGAAATGTAAGTGGTTAAGTCCACGAAGCCATGATCTACTGGGTGAACGACGCCCACGAAACACGCAAAACCAAGAAACACTTAGATTTGCGGCCACCTCATCTCCAACAAGCCATGCCACTACACCGCGTAGCGATGGCGGCCGGCTAGCCCCTCCCCCCCTAGTGGAGTGTGGTCAGCGTCCGTAAATACGTGCGTTGTACTGGCTGCCGAGCGCAGCGAAGGCGGCATCGATTGGCTAAAAGTTGATTTATGTGATTGAAACAATGTATGTGGTCTACACATCGTACTTAAAAGCACCGCTCAAATTTGATTTTGCTCTCTTATTCAGCCGCGGAGCGCCTCTCGACGCAAAGGGCACTGCCTGTGTGCGCGTTAGTTAGCAATAGTAGAAGCAACCGATGTGCACACACGTACTATATCGTCGTAGGAGCTGTTGTAAAAATTGTAGGCCTTGGTGACATATATTTCGGCTTGAATTGGAACTTTAGTACTTACTGCTTATTATATGACGTTTTAAGCTTCGTAGTACTTTCGTAATAAAATTACTTACAATACTGTTTTGCTTAGTACTATTCTAAATTTCTTTCATATTTTATTGCAGTTATCTGTAGCAGTACTACATGAACCTATTATATTAGCAATAGATAAATATACATAGTGCTATTTTTAATATCTAGAACTTGAAATTTTCAAAATATGACTAAAACACACCACTCCACCGCCGCGAAAAAAAAACGCCTTCCTTAGTATTTGCGTGTATGTGCGACACTTAGAAAAAGTGCGCACTTTCAAACATGATACGTAGCTTACATTCAAGGCTCTGGGAGCCGTGCTGCTAATTAAGTTAGCGCAGAGGCACGTGATTAAACAAGAACACGAAACACAGAGGAGCACCGAGTCAGACTATGTACACGATGCGATAGAAGAAGCAATTTGAAATACGGAAGGCCACGGACTAAGAAAGAATAGACCACGCAATTTCATGCGAAACACAAACCACGGGAGAGCACGCAGTCATAAAAACATGGAGCGGATCGAAGAGACGACAGCGGGCGAAAGCTAAAATAATGACACCCCAACATGCTGAAAAAAGCACGGTCCACGGAAGAGAGCGCACGTTCACAGTCACGGTAGACCACATAGCTGTGCGAATGCACGGAAAGGAGTTCACCTACCCCGGTAGAGCACGGATCACGGTCGACGGACCACACACGAAGCCACGGAGAGCAAAGTGGGAAATCACTGAGCATTGGAGTTCCATACCAGGGTAGAACCGGAGCTCACTAATCCACGGAGCACGATACCACGATAGGTCACGAAAGAACGGTAGTCCAGCGGTGACACCACAAAATAACATGATAGCCTGGACGGTGGCCAAACCACTAAATCATAATAGAACATGCAGCCACTGGAGATATAGACGGGAAATCACCGAGCCACAGAGCGTGATACCAGTGTCGAACCTGACATCACCGATCCACGGAGGACGATCGTACATTATAACACGATTGAACGGACGGCGGACCAGCCACGAAATCACGGAGGAAGGATTCGGGAGACCACGATTGCACAAAGTGGAGCATGGTCTCATCGTATAGCATGATTATAAGAGCAACGCATATTCACTACGCGAGCACCTTCGCACAGACAACAGAACCACACCGTGATTGCACGATAGCGCGATAACGCGGCCGATGGAGCCACACCAGGAGAGCATGATACACGGGCGACGAAACAACACGACTACGTTGAAGCACCAAAACACGGCTAGAGTTCCAGCCATGGAAGGGCAACGACCACGAAATACTATGTATCACGAAACCTGTGCAACCCACGTGAGCGTTTGATAACAGGGATTAGTTAGCAGCCACAAAAGAGGTCGTATTAAAGGGCATCAATCCAAAAGAGAGAGCGCATAACCACTAAGTAGCGTGGACCACGGGTGAGCAGGACACCACGATGCCAGGAACAGCACGGAAGAGCACAAGTCACTGAAGAACATGACATCCAACCTGTAGAACGGGGGTAACGGTAGCGTACTAAACCACGATATTGTACGGGGTCGCATGAGACTACGGAATGGTAAGTGGTTTAAGCACACGACATCACGATGTACTGGAGTGGACGAATTCACACGCAACCTGGAAGTACATGATCCTAAGCAAAAGGACGCGACACACCGAAGCACTAAAGGTGCGGCCACCTCACCTCCAACAAACCATGCCTCTCCGGCGGCCGGCTAGTTTATAAAATGAATGTCCGTCTGTCTGTCTGTCACGCATTTCCGACTCTTTGATTGGCTGAAAGATATAATATAGCAGTAAATATGAGACATGGAATGGAAGGTTTTCTTATTTAGAATATGATAAATTAATTAGAACCTTGTGACCTCTCAGCTTGTACAGCCTGCATAATCATCGATAGAGGGACCAAGACGGCCAGCAACCCAATTAGACAGAGTATGTAACGGGGTACGTAGCACTAAGTGTACCCTGGTTACATGAAGTGTGACACTTCACACTTCAGGAGTATGACATGTCATACTCCGGAATATTTGGTACAAGGTACCAAGGTCATTCAAAACCAACCATTGGTTAAATGACATTGCATTTCTATAGGTAACTGATAGTTTGTATTAACCACAAACTTAACCTACCTATAAATATACTCAGTTTACAATCTACCTTATTTAGGTCACTTCGCTCTCTTTAATTAAAGAGGGGACCTGTGAACTGCCGTTCACTGAGAGTTTGTATACTCTCGGAAGATAACTTCCTCTAGCGCAAGGTGCTGTGTGACCCCGTCACACTTGGTAGCACTTGTAGTCAATCCACGCCATCGCGGGTAGACTACCTGAACCTCCGAAGTTCGTTGCCATGGATAGGAACGACTTCTCCCATATGAACGACTCTCAGTTCGAGTCGGTTCGGAAGATGGCAGGCATCTTCGGGATGGAGGCCCTGCAGAGCCTGGTGGTATCAACACCGGCTGAGCAGCTCGAGCGCGTCAATGCATTCGACGCGTACGAGCAGGGCCTCATCGCGCATGTGCGGGAGAACCTGCAGGCTCCGGCGGCGGAAGCAAACCCGTCTCACCCGAAGCCAATACGGCTGAAGGTAAAGCCGTATGATGGGATGAGGCGAGACCTTCACTTCTGGTCCGAGAAGTAGAGCTCGCGATGGACGCGGCTCTGATCTCGACCGAGCAACTGCGTGTTGCTTTTGCACTCTGCAACCTTAGCGGTCGTGCTAAGAGTTGGGTGTACACTCGGGAAGCGACATCCCCTGGATGTTTCACATCCTGGGCTCAGCTGTGCCAACAGCTCCGAGCCGCGTTCCTCCCGGCGAACTACGAGTACCGCCAGCGTTCGCG